ATGACATTATTAGTCCACCTGAATTGTCATAAGTTTTCTTATCTTAACAAAAACAGACAAGTAGCACCTGTGTTCACCATMGATATCACTGCGCGTGCGCGCCAATTTGSCTATGAAAAAGAAAYGTATAAATCTTTAACTCGGTATTCCACAAGAGTCCCGAGAAAAATACGCTTGCTCTGCTAAAACATTTACTTWTATTTCAGTTTCTATATACCATCATGTACTGATATACGCACTGCTCAATTTTTAATTAAGTACATTTGACTTCGTAATCACTACGGTGTTGCCCATAACTGTTATCAAAGGCTTCCATATGAGCAACTTTAGCAAAAGTTATTCTTACAGTGCATGGCTGAGGCCCGACTTCTTTGTAATTGTTGCTTATGCAAAGTTTTCCTCCTGCGCCGCAATTGTACAGCAARCGAGGCCTTTTATGCCCCCATGGGTGGGGTACTTCTTTGCCAGGTACCCCTCCCCATGGGTCACAATCTCCTCAGGTTCCTTGCTTTTCAATTCCTCAAATAAATCTTCGATAACTTGCTTTGCTTTTGTTTCAGCCAAGGGCTTTATTCTTTTATTAAATTCATCYACAGCAAAGTCTGCCTCAAGCTCTTGGAAGTCATCCGGTCTTGTAATTTTTGATCCAGGTCTTGACATACATCGATCTATTGTTAGGACAATTGTGGCAATAATAACCGTTGAAATCAACAATCCCCATGCTATAATCTGAGACTCTGTGCGGGCGTTCGATATTTTTAAGTCCARGGCTTCTTTGTCAGCAGCGTTGTCCACCGCTGCTTCAGCTTTTTTAAGAGGACCTATCTTAGCGCAGACGTAGTAATTGGCATCTCCGAAAACCAGAATGAGCCAAATCAATGGGGGCAAGGTAGCGAGGTATATGATCTTACGTTGCTTCCACCAGATTACTCTACGACAGCATACAGCCCCAGTAGTTAAATGCCAGAACGATTCTGATACCAGAATGGATATACAAAATAATACCAGAGCAGGACCAAATAAGAATAAATTGCCATAAACACGATAATGTTCGACAGGACAGATGAAGACGTTGAGTTTAAAGAACTCTTGAGCAAAGTAAACGGAAATGGAGATGGCAARACTCTTGATGGGTGTTTCTCCAGACTTAGCCGTTCCTTTWAAATACTCGTATATTTCWAGAACGATCTCTGAAAAGTTCATTTCTACTGCAGCTATCAATCATAACTTTTTATGCCGGTTAAGGTTAGGGGTGAATAACCTTACCTGCGGGTGTTACTGAACGAGCCTCGTGATTGGTTGAAAACAGCAGTGATTAACACGAATGACCAGACAGGTCCTGACAAAAYAACAATCGAGAAACAATTTAAAGTTCAAAAGAGCAATAAAAAAATATTGGCATAAGTGTCTCTCAAAAAAGGTGGCGGCGAATTTAAAGAGCTTTTTTGGTGCAGTCTTTGTTCATTTTCCGACGYCTCCTAGTGGAATCCCATCTCACTTCAGGTTTAGAATGCAATTTTTCTAGTTGAATTCTTTATCATTTTGAAATAATGATTTAGTTTTTATTTGAAAATGAGGTGAGCGTGTTGATCAAAGTGAACATTTTAGTCGTCATCATCATCTGATGACCCGTGAGACCGGGGCACAAGGTACACGCCACCACACTCCCCAGCCCACATGACAACAGGGAAGTMCCATTTCTCCATCCCCTCGTCTCTTTATATGATATCTGGCTCGCAATGGACAGGGCTTGTAGAATTCCACAACTAAATGAAGACTCCATGATTTCCCCAGCGGCCTGATAGCAGTGTCCAGCAAACAAGAGCGCCTCCTCTTGGCGGTTTTGTATGATAGCGACGGGATATCCCCGTTCTCGGCGCTCCAGAGTTGCGTGCTCGGACCAAAGAAAGTTTTATACGCCTTTCTGCGTGTTGATGGMCAATCTAGGCGTGTCTCATGTGGGGTTACACGTTCTTCGCTATGAACAAGCATGTGACTGAACATGCTTAAGATTGACAGGTCAAAACTTCATACTGGATTCCAAACTATACTTGTCTTTTTTTTGATAATTTGGATTTAATTTCATAGCACGTTTTGTCATTCATCTTTTGATTATCCTCAAAATAGTTGAAGTACACTACTCTTGGACGTTGATCAAAAAAAATAACTAGTGCAGATCAAGAAATTAAACTATCTAACATAACAAGCTATTTCGGAATATTTTTTTTAACTAAATGTGAGAAATTCCTTCAAATATTTCGCCTTTTTTTGTTTGAGGTGTAACAAGTGATGATTTTGTGAAGTGGCTGAGAAGCTTTTGTTCAATCTCGTACAAGTCGAAAATGTGAGTGTTGATCAAAACATGATAGAGTGATTTTCCKTCAACCATGAAAACACTATAAGTCCAATAATTATTAGTAGTTTGTAATAGACTAATACTAATAGTCTAGCATGTATCCGATTGATATGGGTATAAACATATTCATCACAAAAAGGTTTTTTTATTATAAATTTTAATGGTCACTTTTTGTTATGGTAACTATTTTCATTGTGACGAAAAGCCTTATGGRGCCTCTCGTCACTATGTCATCGTGTTGAGTGACCGAACCATAACCATCCACTTGTAGCAGGCGTTCCTTGCGAGTCCTTGATATGTTTAAGTTGAAAAGAGAAAATCTCTAGAGAAAAAGAAACGAAGAATCAACAGCAAATAAAAGAAGAAAAGAAAAGAAAGAAAGAAGAAGAAGAAGAAAAAGGAAATAAACGAAAAAGAAACAATAAAAAAGCGAAAAAAAGAAAAATTTTAGAAGCAGGACTCGAACTCAGAACTTTCACTTCAGGAGAAGATGTACCCCCCCTGAATACATAAGAAATATTGAAAATAAAAAAACTAAAAAGTTGGGACGATTCCCCCGAGACATTCTATGAAGCTGAGGCGKCGAATCGGCTTACGTTACGGTTAGAGATTTCGGCTCTTCCACGCTATCCCGAAAGTGAACATAAAACTTAGTCTTAACCAAAAGGCCAGGGAGTGAGGGGGGAGCCGCCCACTAGAGCATACCTTTAGCTACCCTCTTAGACAATCGCWCTATGAAGACACTTATAGATATTAAATATCTAATGGGGGTAGTCTATTCGGTGAAGTTCTATGCTAACATATGACGTCACCAAAATCCTTAGGGATCAGCGAGCCAATCAGAGCTCAGCTCGGGAATTAGCAAACGATGCAGACTTTGCATAATCATTCTTCAGTGGATTTATTATTTGATGGGGGTGGGGATGGGTGCTGAGTGCTGAGTGCTGGTTTGGGGCCGAATACCGCTGTTCAATGTACTATGACGGCTTTCATCAATCTGTTCAATTGTCGTTATTGTTTTCCAAATCATCACAGGAAAACTTTTAGGCGTACACAGACAATATTAGTATTCAGATAAACACCACGGCACARATCTCTTGAAATTCTTAACGTAAGTGGTTTACAAACCAGGCAGATATTTGCTAGAATTCAACGGAACAATCAACCATAGTGAATGTTAACAATTCAGTGAAGAGGATGAATGATAATCCGTATAAAATTGATAAAGAAATCAAGGAAAACTTAGCAAGCTTTCCGTTTTATTGCAAAACTATAATYAGGCGAATGATAGCAAAAATACAGTTTCGATAATAAAAWCATTTATCGAAGAAAACKTTCGAGAATTTATCATGAGTTTATAGGTTAACAGATACAGAAAGATGTCTTYGACAGAAAGATGTCTTTGACTACAGTTAAATTAAAGCTCTAAGGACCGCTCCATGTCGCGGATAAAAATTCCTTTTCCTAATCTTTCAGATGGATGTGTTTACTATAGGCAGGGAAACAGCTAGGGCACCCCGCGTCAGGCTCCACGAGAGGAATGATCAACCACCACAATAGGTTCCTTKGYCCCTGGGAATCGCCACCTGTTGGTTGTGTGCATTTATAGGCATGTATTCGAAGTTCCTAAATCTCTTAATGGCCTGAGTCACATGCASTCCTCRACTGCCTATTTTTTTGTTTATGTAATAAGATCTAATTTTACTGATTACATTATCATCAGTCACTACTTGCGCATCATCATAACATTATCATCACCATCATCATCATCATAATCATCATCATCAGAAAAATAGATAGAAACGCACTCTAAAGTCTAGTTTCTCGGTGTAAATTCAGCGTCATTTCCTCAGTCCTGAATATTATCAAATTTGATAACGCTCTTGCTCTKGTTCCTTGTGAAGAGAAAACTTTTAACACTATTACTTGGAAAAGTTTGATCATTGTCTACTCATTATAGATTTTGATTCATCCAACAAATGTTGTATGAAGGTTAAAAAGGAATATTTTAGTTGATCGAAGTATAGTGCTGATGCGGGCCACTTTCTGTTAACTTCACCCCGACGTCTTCATTATTTTTAGGGCGACTTGCAAACAGCCCCGCTTTAATCTTCGAAATGTTTTCTTTGGGCGTGGCTGGGGTACAGTGCGCGAGACCTTTGACACCCTCATTGCTGGGAAACTTCCCTGCCAGGTACTTCTCTCCATATATCACTATCTCCTTGGGATCCATATCTTTGCATTCTTCAAAGAAATCTTGAATAACTTCTTTCGCTTTCGTTTCAGCCAAGGGCTTGATTCTTTTATTAAACTCATCCACGGCGTAGTCAGCTTCCAGCTCTTCAAATTCGCTCTTTCTGATAAGCTTTGATCCGGGTTTTGATATGCATCGATCTATTGTCAGGACAATGGTGGCAATGACAACTACAGATATCAACAGCCCCCATGCTATAATCTGGGACTCCGTGCGGGCGTTGGAAATTTTCAAGTCCAGGGCCTCCTTTTCAGCCGTAGTGTTAACCGCTGCTTTAGCTATTTTAACAGGACCTATCTTAGCGCAAATGTAGTAATGGGCATCTGCGAAAACCAGAATGAGCCAAATTAATGGGGGCAAGGTAGCGACGTACACACTCTTGCGTGACTTCCACCAAATTACTCTACGACAGCACAAAACTCCAGTAGTTAAATGCCACAGTGATTCTGATACGAGCAGGGAAATGCAAAATAGCACCACAGCTGGGCCAAATAGGAACAAATTACCATATACGCAGTAATGTTGGAGAGGGCAGTTGAAGATGTTTTCTTTGAAGAATTCCTTGACAGCGTACACGAGAATGGAGACGACAAGACTCTTGATTGGTGTTTCACCAGACTTTATCAAGTCTTTAATGCAATTGTATATCTCAATAAAGATATCTGAAGGTGAAAGCGCCATTTCCAATGAATTATTCTTTACGTTTTCACACTGTTTAATCAGAAGGACAATGTTATGTCAGTTGGAATCATGCCTTGACAAATAACATCCAAGTGAATCGGTCGTTGCGTGACTGTCATAAGGCATTGTGATTGGTCACAATGGATAAGTCATTGTACTTCTAACAAAACAATAGACGACAACAATAGAAGACAAATCTGTACTTATTTGGACAATTTTCTTGGCAAACTTTTTTACTGATGAGGAAACGGCTATAAAACGGCAGGAGTATCAGTGGAACTAACAATCCAAGAGGTTAAAGTCACAGGAAGTTCTTGGTTAAAAATTCATTAAATGAGTGATTCCCCTTAATGCTTCAATTCCCCTGCTTTTAGGGTGTTCAGGTTCAAGCTGGGGTATCACACAAAAAATGCATTTTAATTTGTAGACCAATTTCTTCTAACACATTTAAGTAAAGATCCTTTTAGACTACCACTACTCCTTGTTGATAGGCACTTCAGAAAATAATGCAAATGTTCAATATTTTGATTTTATTGGCTATTGAATTTATCAATATGGCTTACTCATGAACTCTCAAAAGAATTACTAAGTTATGTAATTTATGTTTGATAAAGTTTTGGGATAACACTGAAACCATGAAACAAATACAACTATGAAAATAAACAATAAATKTTTAACTTTCTGTTCTGCACCACCCCTCCCCCACTACAAATGTTCCCCTTCAGGGGTGGGGTGGGRATGTTCTCACACAAGTTTAAGCCCTAGTTACTACCAACTTGTAAATGTTTCATTGTTAAAAAAGTTATTCCTCTATTTTGTGATAATCTCTTTGCAAATTTGAAGTACATTCACATAATATTATAATATAAAAGAACATCCTAAGTACAAAAAAGTTAATAGCTTAAATTTGTACAAAAMGAAAAACAACAATATTTGCACTACTGACGTGAATATGTGCAAAATGAGTAAGACATRAGTACATGGGGTAATTATTTCAAACTTTTTGTGTTGATCTGTTTTACATGCTTATTGTRCATTAGTTTATGATATCTTTATGTACAAATGTGTACAAATATAACATAGAACACAACATATATTTGGAGTATGTCTCAAACGATATGTAATGATGCAACTATAGAATGTTAAGGTAAAAGCATTTCTTAGGACAATCTACCTAGAACTTACATTAAATTCTATCTGTCAACAGACAAGCTGTTTGGCTTTGTATTTGTGAACAACTTAAACTAATAATGAATTATATAAAAAAACTTTAACTATAATGAAAAGACCTTGACGGGTAATACAGCCTCTCCTTATCGGCAAGGGTTCYCATCCACTGATATGATATGATATCCATTCCTGATATATTTAAGGAACTAAAACATGTCACTTAAGTGGTTTTCTATATGTGTCCAGCCAGTCATCCATCATTTGATTGACAAGTGCAGGTTTGGGAGTAATGCGTTGCTGGGCAACTAAAATTCCACCATCTGTTGTACAACAATCTAGCCAATCACGAAGTAGGTACTCTTCACTTCCAATCTAGAAGTTAGCATCAGTGATTAATATCATGATACAAGAKCAGTTTATCTTGAATATTAAATACTGTATTATGAGCACAATGATACCTCAAGCAGTCACTTGGAATTGGGACTTTTTTAATTTTGATCATTTTTAAAATAGAYCCTGGGTGAGTGGATCATATTGGTACCATTGTATTCTTTGTTCATTGTGTTTTCAATAACACACAACATTCATCCTCCAAAAATCAATTGACATATTCTTTATTCACACTTTCATTAATTTACTTTTTCCTTTCTTCATTCGTGCATTCATTATTCACTTATTCATCCATCCAATCTTTGGCTAATTTGTTCTTTTATTTATTCATTTTTTCATTTACTTCTCCATTTATTCATTCTTCGATTTGTTAATATTACTTTGTTCATTGATTCAATCATTTGACCATTCATTTATTTGTTCATCCATTCAATATGCTACTCCTTCTTACACTCACATATACCTGAGCTGCRGATAGAAAATGAACAGGCAGCAGTCTCCCTTCATGGTCCACCAAAGGAAGRAAAGTAACATGGACGTTATCGTTACTCTCCACATGTGCATGYGCRCCAATATCATTGGTCTCTGTGTCTAYTTCCATRGCAACCAATGCTGAGAAGTGGCCCCTTGTGTAACCAAGGACAACAGGGTTTTTCCAACAAAAGCTCTTTTCCCACAACAATGGAAGGTAAACTCCTGATATCAAACAATACCCATTGATATCCATCCAATATTTTAGAATGTTCAGTAACAAGCAACTGCAATACCTACATGTTTATATGTCACCAATTATTTGAAAAATGGTGGACAGWTTACATAGCAATGATCGACACTGACTACTGTTGTAGCCTTTTGCTCATAAACAAAATAAAGATTTGGTTAAGTGGATAAATGGATAAGTTAGGASTAATATTTCTACTCCAAATGTTTGATATCAGCCCGTGCAAATGCAAGAGATCTATGAGACAGTATAAAAGACAATGGAAATACCTTGAAATCTAACAAGTCTTAGCTAAATTTCTGTATATTCTACACTTCATTGGGGCTAATACAGTGTAAATGAGATTTCAAAACTAAACTATTTTTGGACACAGCCACAATACATTACTTTTGTTTATATAATTTTTAAGTATCTTTCCAAAAATACCTTGAAATCTAGCCAAGCCTAGAGTCTCCCCTCTAAAACTCTTGACATATTTGACCCCATAGATGATAATAGGTCTGCGGAGGATGTGCGCTAAAGCAAAAACATGTGTCTGTTCTAAGGAGGTTCCTGGTTGGCTTGCTAAGCTGAGAATCGATGCCCAGTCCTGCTCCCATTGATCCTCGTCCAGTGAATACTGAAGAGTCTCAGCCTGCATTGACTCCCACTCCTTGTACCGCGGAAAGAACCTTGAAAAAATCGAATAAGAATTATCATCATTATTAGAGCAAGTGCAGGAAACGCATGAAATAAAATCAAACTAAATACTAACAAATAGCGGCTATTTAGAGACAAATTGTCAGTATCAATGAACCAGAACGCAATAAATATGAATGAAAAATGATCTCATGTGGATTTTTCTTCATTGTGTTCTGGTTCGTTGATACTGACAAACTGTCTCTAAATAGCCGCTATTAGTTAGTATTTAGTTTGATTTTATTTCATAGTTTTCCTGCATAATTTGCTCTATAATTACAATTACTTAGTTGTTATCAATATTGTAATATTCAGTTTTTATTGCACTGTACATGGGCAAAGAATCATATCTTCTCGTCACAAGTCAGCCATGATGTTGAGGCTTTGATTTACTTATGAAAAACTTGCTCAAACATATATTAAGCAGATAATCCAGATAACTCATAAATTAATCATTTACTCTATCTGGGTGTTATCCTAGGAGATCTGGAGTTCCCCTGCTAGATTTTATCCCACACGGGGAGGGATGAGAAATGGCTGTAAAAAGACTACATCCTTTCAATTTGGATTTACGTTTTGGCAATATACTTGCACTAACTATTTAAGAAAATAAAAAATTGAAATACCTAGATGCTCCTTCACTGAGGCTGTCAAACAGAGCCTTACGTAATGTGTTATCCTTGTCAAATACACCATACGAGGCCTGCAGTATTGAGTCTAGTAGGCAGTCCCCAGCTGAACGGTTCCACAATGGATAGATCCTGCTACCAAGGTGAGATGAAATTTCCTCACTCCAGTTGATGATTGGAGACTCTACTTCAAGAACTGCAATGATATTTAGTATYGTTTAGTATTTTAAAATATAGAGCACATGAAAATACTTTGCCAGATATAATAAAATATAATAATATTACATTATATTAATTTGACTATTTGGACCTCTATTTTTTAACAGAACTAAAAACTATAATACCATAAGATCAAAATCATTCCAATCTTTCCTGACAAAGTCAGAAAATAACATAGGAGTACAAAACTTATTTACTTTACATCAGTGCAAAATGCCCTTTGAATAAAAATTCATTTGTATTGTATTGTTCTGATCTTGTGAATTTCAAGTGCCTATAAATAATAGCTAAATGTCCCTGGGTTAGGCATAAAGGAATCTGATGTTTTTCTCCTACACCCCTTCTAAGATGTTTGTACCAAATATTGATGTTACACTCACTTTCTGCATGGAAACCACAAATTATTTGCACCACAAATCAATTATTTATAAAAGTTCTATCAATTGATTGTCTGGGGTAGGGGTATTTTTTTTACTACCCTCTTAACTTTAACCACTAGACAATACAATATTGTCATGATAATTTTGACTAGAAAAACCCACAGCACATTAATATTTGTCAANAAACTATAATACCATAAGATCAAAATCATTCCAATCTTTCCTGACAGAGGAAGAAAATAACTACATAGGAGTTCAAAACTTAATTACTTTACATCAGTGCAAAATGCCCTTTGAATAAAAATTCATTTGTATTGTATTGTTCTGATCTTGTGAACTTAAAGTGCCCATAAATAATAGCTAAATGCCTCTGGATTAGGCTTAAAGGAATCTGATGTTTTTCTCCTAYAYCYCTTCTAAGATGTTTGTACCAAATAKTGATGTTACACTCACTTWCTGCATGGAAACCACAAATTATTTGCACCACAAATCAATTATTTATAAAAGTTCTATCAATTGATTGTCTGGGGTAGGGGTATTTTTTTTACTACCCTCTTAACTTTAACCACTAGACAATACAATATTGTCATGATAATTTTGACTAGAAAAACCCACAGCACATTAATATTTGTCARTACTTCTGCTTTTACTGGGCTCTGCAAGTCATTTAGAATTCTTATGATAAAATGTTTGATGCAAACACTTAAAATACTAAACGTTTCACATTGGTGTGTTTAGAATTGAATGTACCTAATTCTAAAATAATAATAAAAAATATCATTAATTATAATTATTAATAATAACTAACCTTTTTGTACTTCCTTGTCCAAAAGATCTTCAAATAACTGCCTTCTAACTCGAGCAGGAAACTCTTGGATTTCTAATGGAAGAAAGAACGCATATATCTTTTAACAATAGCATAATGTAGCCTTTGTCCCAGCCCAGTTGTTCCTGGCTTAGAAAAATAACTTTATATAAAACAGATGTTTTAGTCATGCTACAATCTGAGTCAAAATCTACCACATAAATCCTGTTCAAGTACTGTAAATATGAGTTACTTTTATTATATCAAGGAAGTGTCTCGCAACATTAATCTAAAAAGATGTATTTTTTAATATTATTGAATTTTAAATTTTAAAGCAAGTTCACACTGTTCCCAATATAATGGAGCTATATAAAAATCAAAATGTAAGACTGAGGTAAAAAAAAGTGGAATTAACTAAAAAAATATGAATTTCACAAAAAAGTAAAAATAATTAAAGTGAAAATTCAAAACATCCAATACTCATCCCAACTTACAAGTTAAATCTTACTTTTTAATGACGAAAAACATTTGATGTGAATGAGCTTAACACATTTACACAAAAATATTCAGAAAGCATTTAAATTTTTTAACATATTGATTGTGACCCTTTATGAATTATTCATTAGTCTTTGTTGGTCCATAATTCGTGTAAACCGCTAAATCACACAAAAATGCCAGAAAAATAATATTGGGGACATAAAAAATCTTCTGTACCTTCATAATATTATTAAGGGAGTTGTAACATGTAACTGTATTCTTTGTAAAAGTCATGCACCCTTTTAGCTTGATCAAGGTACAGAATATGATCAACAAAACCAATTTCTTATCTTTAAGGCTTAAAATCATAGTAGCAATTGTGAATTAACAGAATTTACACTGTTTATCTTAATCCATAACATATTCAGAAATTACTTGTCGAAACCACAATTTTTCAACTGATCATGTTGTTCAAACAATATAGTTTAAGGATATTTTGTTTTTSAAAACAAATATTCAAGTTCTGGCACATTACTTGAAAGTAAATGTCATGTCAGAGCTAGTAACATAAAAAATAGGGGAATGAGGGAGATTATGTTCATCTGTGGTTTGTTTTTCTTTTTATCCAWGGATAATATAAACAATGACAAAACAAAACCAACCCAACAAATAAAAAMCATGCACAAGAAATTATTGTAACATTGTAGCAAATTACATATATAATGTGCCACAATATTGTACTTACCTGCAGGCAATACAAATGTCACTTGATCAGTAAAAAAATAACAAGGCCAATCCCCCTTCCTTTGCCTCATTGTATGGGCTATGTCTTTCCTGATGTCTGTTGCCAATTCTGGGCAAACAAGACAAGGGACACAATGAAGCCTATGGTTGCTAACTTCAGGAACTAGTAAATAAGCCAAGAGGTCTTCCCTTTTGAATTTGATAGCTAAATGAACTAGTGTATAGCCTACTTCAAAGGCCTCTGGTCTGTTCAATACAAGGCATTCCTCTCTTGTTAATTGTCTAGTCCGGTCATTGCCTGAATTGAGGTATGTYTCMACAGATGTTGCATCCCCTTCAACTATTCCTATACAAGCACTTAACCACATCCAGTCATTATCATTAAGACGGTTRCGKATCTGAAGTACCTCTTCATTGTCATTTACATCATCTGATGCAGGGATGTCGTATATAATGTTACCCACATCTTTGTTTGTGGACTGTAAGGTCAGGTCACTTACAGACGAAATAGGAGACCGTCGTCTTGACCCAGAGGGTTTTCTGCTYTCWGTATTTTTACTTTTACAAACACTATTTTCTTCTATAGATGGTTTTGTGCTAGCACAGATGACACATTTGACAGTTTTAGGCCAGTTTTGATATGTACAATGAGGGCATTCCCATTTTTGTAATGCTTTCAACTGAGCTTTGTTTTTGTCGTTGTTAATGGCTTTCATATCGACTTTAGCGCGGCTTGTTTTCGGCGAAACAGAACGAGTTCTTTCATCCTTTGTACTTGAATCTTCAGTGTGAAGAGCGTTCCTGACGCTTTTGCTTTTAGAAGTATGACACATTACACACTGTAGCGAACTAGGCCAGTTATCAAACGTACATGTGGTACACTTCCACTTAGCAGCTTCCTGATCACAAGGTCGATATCTAGGTGATGGTCTGTCACCGTTATTTGGCGTTCTGTAGTTCCTGGCGTTAGCCCGTTCGTTATCAGCAGCTTGGTAGATATCCTGGGAAATCCCTGCCGTTCTATGCGGTTGAGGACAAATTACATGCGCAGGTCGTCTGGCTAAACATAGAGCACACTTTATGGCCGAAGGCCAGTTTTCATATGTACAATACTCGCACGGCCATTTGAGGTTTTGCTCGTTCTTTGGCATTTCTAAATTATTTGTTTGACGATAATAAAGGTCTAAATAATAAAATAGACGTTATCTGTACCCTAAATATAGACAATTCTGACAGCAGAATCTCCAACAATGCTGTTTAATGTCTTTGCCTTCTTCGCTGTTCGGTCTCCTCTCCGTTGTCGATAAACCYCCAAACAAAACGTCTCGCTTCTGCCCAAAATTTTGGCCCAGCTTGATTCCTAACGGTACTTTTACTTTCATGGATATATCAGTGAGGTTTTAAGCGGTATTACAGATCTATAGTCATGTATCCATAGGTGAGTTTAGACGACAAAATGAAGTCACCCATTCATATCACTTTCCGTCGCCATGTTGTGTTTTGAAAGCGAAAACCAATACATGTGACGTCATCAAACATTCCATAAAGCTTAGTGTCTAGTCCTTCTCGGATATCCCAATCATCCACTTGAAAACTCTTTTTTACTTCCTTTTTTGACAAAAGGACAATTTATTTCAGATCAGTTAGTAAGTCGGCATATAAGTTTCATCAAAAGAAATAATRATAAAAGAGAAAATGAAATGATTCAACTATTGAAGAAAATACATGGATATAAATGACGCAAGCATCACCATCCAAATAYCCTGTCCATTCAACAATTAATTTGATCATATCTGTTAAGTCTTTATTTAGATTTTAATATTTTGCGAGATATCGTATTTTTATATCCTCGCAAAGGTTTGTGGGAGATAATTCTTAAGGTCAGCGGTAGCACTTACCAAAAAACAAGATGTCGGACGAGTTGGAGTTTGTGGAGAAATGGAGAAAACAGACYTAATTGCACCWATAACAAGCCTGCAATTTTCAAAAGAATTATTATTATCAGGTATTTATCGAAATAGTTTGATGCCTRAACAATTGGAATTATAATATACAATTTCAAACAAATATAAAAAGATAAAGAATAAGCTTTCAGTGGTCATCACGTGAATATTTTTTCGTATAACGCTAATTTAGTTGCATGTTTGTTGTATGTCTTTATTACATATGAGTGGATTCATAGGTTTTTAGGTTCAATTTGTTATTTATACTTACCGGCAAGGGCTTCAGTTGCGAGGTCCCTGTTGTATATTTACCATACGGTGGGATCCCTGTGTTTTTTTTTTAATTTACAATTTGGTTCAGGTGAAGGTCCATATCTGTGTGTTTACAATGTAACTGATGGGGCTAGACTMAACTGCCAGCATGTCTTAGGGAATGCTAGGATTCATGGTATCAGAGGTAACCAAAGCCGTACTTCTTTAGACCTAACTTACCCTATAAGACTAATGAATATAATCAATTTATACAGCCAATAGCAGGCAAGAAATCTTGTTCATTGTATTTGGTCAAAAGTCCTTGAGAATCATCAAATTAACACCTTTGGATAATCAAATAAGGTTAAAATTCATCTTAATAACCTTTTGAATTATCATTATTCATGACAATTATTATAAAATAATAATAATTAATATTGATATTTYTATTTTTGTGCAAACTTCAGGATAGATGATATATCTGATATYATAACAATACCTGATCTCATACTTGATGCTCATTGGCTGCATGAAAACAATGGAAACTCCTCCAAAGTTGCCATAGCAACAGCYCATAATGCTGTATGGTGTGTAGATTACCAGACAARTAGCAAGCATTTGGTAGCACAATGTGAAGAGAATAGTATTTTGTATCCTTGATGATAATATACATTCATTCATTCATGATGTAATTTATGAAAGCTGAGTTCCTTTTCAATTTGTTTCCATTCAACTGAATTCTAAATTTCCATTAACCAAATATTAGATATTCAGCTAAATTCTTTGGCGAAACCCTTAGCAAACTTCTCCTTGCTGCTGGCACAGTATTCAACCAAGTCTTACTATGGAATATCAAAGAAGCAGAACCACCCATCAACAAAACAAAAATCCTCCATCGACTCACTGGTCATGAAGGTGTTATATTCCAACTTTGCTTTAATGATAATGGCACTTTGATGGCTTCTGTATCAGATGACAGGAGTATAAGGGTATGGAGGCTTGTAGTCAATGAGTCTGGTATACCTCTGGAGGTAACAGAGCTGCTTGTAATGTATGGACATGGTGCTAGGGTATGGGATGCTAAGTTGTTAGCTGGCTGTATTGTGAGCATTGGGGAAGATGCTGTATGTAATGTGTGGAATTATACTGGAGAACTTGTTAAGACYTTCACAGGTCACTTAGGTATGTTAAGGTAGATTTACACAGTTTGGTTGTTGTTTGTGACTTGTAGCATACAATTTTCATACAAGAAGTCGTAGAATTTGAGCTGTGGTTCAAAATCGTACTGTAATTTGTAGGTTGCGTACAACTATTACGGGCAAGTTGTAGTGYTGCTTTTGCAAACAGTGYGRTTTAAGCTCATTGGAGTCGAATACTACAAGTCGCAAGTGACAATCRTACCATGTAAATCAGCCTTTATACAAAATAATTTTGGTCATCATAGAACTTCTAGTTATAGCTATTGATTGCTTGATATGATATTGTACATGTTGATACTTTTTTCCACTATTCAACAATAGATCAGAATACCACTTTATAGAAACTGATACAAACATTTGATTTCAATCACTGTAGGAAAAAGTATTTGGAGCCTTGCAGCCAATGAAAATAACAACATCATTGCAACAGGAGGTGGAGATGGAAGCATTCRGCTCTTTTCACTGAATGACCTTAGTAACCAGGAAACCATGGAAACAATAACCACTTATTTACCTGGCACAGAACAAGGAATGGTTACTAAGAAGGTCACTGCCATAGATACACCTAGATCAGTCTGCCTGGGGAATGATGGGAAGATTTTTGTCATGACATCTGAGGGGTAAGACAGTTTTGTTTCTTCAGGAACCCATTAACCCTGTTTTGTTCATTTCTTAGTCTTTTTCAATTTTGTCAACTGTGTCTGCCATTTGCACAAGAACATTCACTTTGTGGGGAGTCACAGCTTGCAATCAAAGCATTCACATTAACCTTCTCATGCTTGTAGCTCTATCAGACACAAAACTTGATCTATTTTGGTAGCTTCAGAAGTGCCATTTTATGACCTAAAGTGGAGGGTCTGTGTACATTTGCAGTCAAACTAACTTTTCAAAAAATTGAAAGGCTCAGAGAAGTTAATGGACTCATGTAATTGGGTGCTAGTCTCACCATAATCTGTGCATTCTGATTTTTTGTTCATTTTTGTTGTGAAGGTGTTTGTACGAGTATTTCTGGAGAAAATCATTCAATGAGCCAGAAGTAAACCAAGAGAATGCTTGGGCGTTGTTGCTGAAAGATGCAAATTACTCTTCTTACAGTCTTATGTCAGTGTCTCCTGACAGAAAACTTATTGCTTTTGGTAACCTGGTTGGAAATATCAAAATTTGCCTTACTGAAGGTATTGTAATAGCTTTTGAATAGGCTCATTGGAATTCTACACAGACAGATCTAAACTCCTTCTTTGTGGTCAATGACTATCTCAAAATTCCAGTGCAAGTGGGCTTATATAGCCTCAAATCTATGTRTTTATTGGCTGCTTCCAATGTTTTCTRTCCAAGGAACAAGGYTATTTCMGCTTGTACTGGAATTTTATGRATAGTAATAACATTCTYATAATATGCTTTAGTTCAACAGATTGTAGCAGTCTTAGGTATAGAAAAAGTAGTTCAACATTTAATTGTTTTAACACCAGTCCTATTATTTTGTAACTTAGAGATTTCTTCAAAAAGTAAAGAACTCACACCTTTTACCAGCAAAGTTCTGAGTCTCMTATGGTCATCACCAATGAAGTCGGCATATAATCTGTTTTCCTGTGGTCCTAATGGAATCATTATCTGGTGGMAAGTAACTTTGGACGAGGAAAACCAAATAAATGTTGAGAAAATACGGACATTTTGTATTCCTTACTCCAAACAAAGATGGGCATCTGCAGTTGAAGTTGTGATGTCATCAGTTGGWCTCCATGGTGATTGTCATGTGATATTTGGCGATAGAAAAGGATCRATTCATTTGTTTAATTGCCAAGGAGCGATGAAGGATGATATTTTAAACCCTATTCAGAGTCTATATGGACTGCATGGTGTTATAGGGGTGACACAGCTGTGTTGTCATGGTAGTGAGTTGTATTCGACAGGGCGTGATGGTACATACAAACAGTACAAGCTGACCTGTGATAAAATAGAACTTGTTGATACCAAAAAGGTAAGGTATTCAAAAACTCAAAACTGTAATTTGCATTGTTTACTCTTTTGAGAATAGAAGTGTATGGATGGATGCCTTGTAATAATTGTATTAGATTAGAAAGCAAACATTGAAGTTGTAACTCAGTTTATTTACAGTTCAGCTACTGGGACCGAGGCCACCTATAGAGAATATAAAATAATCACAATTTCGATTGAAACAAGGCTTAAAAAGCTAAAAAACGATCATCAGTGATATTGCAAAGAACTAAAGCTAATGAGATCAGGTTTCCCTAGTTTGAAGCCTTTGTAATTCAATCTAAATTGTGGGATTTTATATTCGCTAGCTGGCCCCGGTTTAAGTAGCCGCACTGTAAGTTTAGACGCATTTTTTCAATAATTTCCAGGTATTCAAAGGATTAGAGTGGGTTGAGAGATTGCTGTTCACTGCCAATGGAGATCTTGTRATTGCTGGATTTCATACTGTAAGATATATGGATTACTTGAATGTCCAGCAAAAATAGTTGTTGCCTTTTGGTCAAAGTTGTTGTGCAAAACTAAACTTTAATTACATTTTTGCAACAAAATTTGCTGTATTTTTATTTTTGTAGCAATTTCTTGCGAAACATTTAGTTGTAACATTGTGACCCTCTTCTTGATCGAATGAGAGCTTTCTATTGCGTTCTTTTTTATCATTACCTTCCACTTTTATCTTTAAGGCTTATTTTGTAGTATGGAGCGTAAGCAAGAATGAAGAACTGYTCAAAGTCAAGTGTGGTGGCGGACATAGAGCATGGGATTTCACTTTCCATCAACTAGTGGTAAGTTAAAGTTGAATATTCCCAAGAAACTGCTTATGTATGAGCCAAGATACAGTTTTGACATGTACATGTATAAGCGCACTTGACGCACAGCTGCTGTAGGCCTTGCCAAGATGCACACTTATTACGCTTAGATGTTGCTAAAATACAGCTGACATGTAAGCGTTGCTAAGACGCAGGTTAACTGTTTGCGTTACCAAGGTTCCAAATAATCTTTTTTCTTTTGTTAAAGGAATCGCAAAGCGAAGAAGCAGTTTTCACGTACCTGAAAGGAAACAGCATTAATACTCACAGAGTTTACATAAAGAATCATATTACTAAGCCCATACTGAAGGTTTGTGGTAAATGCAATTTTTTCTTCAAAGACTGAGTCTTACAAATATCGTTCACTGTTTAACTTTGAAAAAAAAGAAGAAATTACAATGACGATGGGTTGCCAAAAGTACATTTTACAATGTTTGTCTTTGTAAATACTGTAAGACTGAGTAGAATATGCTTTCTTAGCCCAGTTTCCATGGCCGAGAGACGACATGTATGGTTAACGTTTGCGATCTTTTTGGTAATCAAGGTATGATACTCCTAATACCCAACGCCCTTGGGGGTGGGGGTCAGTTACCCAGTTGGTATCACACTTGCTGTTCGCGGGTCGAACATATTTAATTTCTTAGCTAATTGATGCCCTTTCTTTCCACAGAAACTAAACGGAATCACTTGTTTGTAACTGGTAGTGAGGACACAACACTCAATCTTATGTCTTGTATCCTTTACATTTTGATTTATTTAACAATAAGTAGCATCCTCGGAAACCCCGTAACTATTTAGTTTGGAATGGGGGGATTGAGGTGAGCGGAAAGCAAAGTCCCTGGGTTTCCAAATACAGACGATTGGCACTAAATATATGTGTGAATTATCGGACAAATTTATTATGGCAAATTATTTCCACATTAAAGCATACAAGTGTCTTCATGTATAGTTAGACATTCTCCGTAAATACATAGAAGCACTAAGCCATGTGGGATATGGGCTCGGATAACATGTAAGAGCATGCGCAAACTTCAAAGCTTAATATGAAACAACTGAAGAGCTRCACTGTAGGCTTTGAAAACTTCGACTGCGCTCTTMAGCTATTTTATTTACAGGCTATCACTTCTTCGAAAGTTCACTGACAGTTCAGAAAGGAAAGTTTCCTTGACGTGTTTGTCTCAGATAATTACACCACAGGTCATTCCACTAAACTATTCACAGCTCAGGGGCAYATCTCCAGTGTTAGAGCATTGAGTGTGACTGTGAGCACCTCTAAAACATCTCTAAATRATGAAAACGAAGAACAATCATCTACCCGATTTTTACTTTTCTCTGGTGGTGGACGAGCTTCTCTACGGTGTTGGCGTGTCGACCCAACAGTTGTAGGCAGTAATGGCATATTATCATCTGCACCTGTGTCGTTTTTAAGCGAGTATTCGTCGCGATCAAGTAGCCACAAGAGAAGRAGAAAGCGCAAAGAAGGCCATTTGCACTCGGAGATTAGATTTATGTCGCTCAGTTCATTTCCACTGTCTGTTGTCATGGACGACGGTGACATACTTGCTGACGTCAGTTTAGGGCTTTATTGCGTTTTGGCGGCGTGTTCGGATGGTTTTGTCAGGTAAGAATAACTTGTTTAACCTGTTTTCTCAAACCTCCTTGKAAAACAGAATTGAACAGAATCAAGTCATGTCTTTTGGAAGATATGGAAGATAGAAAAACCCGACCTGGTTCATCCAGTCTGTTACAGAATTCTGAATCTTCTTTTGCAGGATTTTCATCTATGATGAGAAAGAATCTAAGTTCTTCCTTCTTGCGCAGACTCAGTACTTACTGCGGTGCGTGCTCTCAGTTCAACACGTCGTGTACAAAGAAGATTCATCAAAACGTTGCACTGTTTTAGTTTTAGCTGGAGACACGGCGGGAAAAATCTCCATGTGGGACATCACTGAACAACTGATTCAGTACATTAGAGAGGAAGCTGATGATATTGACGTATCCACGGAAACGAGTACTAACACCACAATAAAGGACATTGCTATGACAACAAATGTTCCTGTTACTATGGAGACGGGTGCTTCAAAGTCACATGATGTTGATGACGCAGATTACGACGGCACGAAAAACAATAAGAAATACTTTACTAGCTCTCATTATAACTATAAGAATACCATTAAGGATGACACTTCGGAGGAGTCAAAGTTTTCTTGTATAAATTTGGTGGAAAGTTCCCTTGGTCAACCGTTGCATGTGTTCAAAGCACATCAGTCTGGCGTGAATGATATCTCGATATTCCAAGGCAAGTTGTTGGATTCCTTTGTTTGGACATAGACAAAACCTTTTAGCTTCTATGCTTATTAACTCATAGATGCCTGCAGTCTAATAAATTTGCTGTATTTTTATATATTTTTAGCTGACTCAAGCTTTGTACTCTGCAGTGGTGGTGATGACAGCGCTTTATTCATCGCAGAGTTTCAAGTTTGSTCGACTGACACCGAAGCACGAGCTGTTCACGTGATCAGGCAAGAAATTATCCAATCAGCGCACACTTCTTCAGTCACTGGTGTAAAACTATTGGATGAAAGTACAATGATATCATCGTCTACGGACCAGCGATTGAAAAAGTGGAAGATTGACAAGGAATCTATAGAACTGGRCCACGTGACCTTTGTTGATGTACCTGATGTACAAGCCATAGGGTCGTGGGGRACTGGGTAAGAATAGTCTTGTTTTGATTGACGTCTTTAGGTTGACCAATGACTGACTCATGCATTGTTGTTTTTTTCAGTATCAATGGTTGTGTCGTTGTAGCTGTGTGTGGTGTTGGTTTGCAGACAATAACACAATAATCATATAAAACAACAGTTTTATTTTTGTCGAGAAGGCATTGAATATACAGTTTATTATAATGGTCGTCTAGCCTAATGACGTCATGTACTATATGACGAAGTGCATCATGGTATTGTTGAGATAGTTGGTGGACAAGGTTTCTTTAGCAAAAATTCACGTCATCGATAATGCTACTTGTAGCGTGAAAACAATCCAATTTTCTGTAAAAATAAGTTTGCATACTTCAAACGTTGCCTCCACTGGCATCACTAAGAGTCATGGGCTTCCTGTCTTTTTCTGTGAGCCAGAAGAAGGAGAGTGAGATCGAATTTTTACTTTCTCGTCACTAGTCCCTAGCGGTCAAACTGGCCGTTACAAAGGAAGCCCATCCCRTTTTCATTCAACTAACTACTGTAGTACAACTGTATTAGAARTAGTTCTTTCAATACAAGATTGTCAACAGCTGTCGCATTTCTTCTTTGATTTTTTAAGTTCTTTATCGAAGCTGATAATTTTGTCTAAAAAATAAATTGAAAAATTAAAAATTGTGAATGAATGAACAACAAAGAAATATTGCACTGCCGTCTTTGGTCAGTGTACGTATACGTCTATTTCATAAAACATTGAATAACGAATATTGCATAGTGCATTCCAAGAACGCATTGCATTGTTGATAGTAAACCCAGCGTTAACTGCGTTACGACATGAAAACTGTATTGCTTTCCATTGAAGTTCTCGACTGTACGGAGCTGGCATGGTCACTATTATACCAGGATAACTTCTTTTAGCCGGCGATAGGACGTCCAACAATGCATTGCGGTCTTGGAATTCACGATGATTCAACTGTACCTCCACCTCTCTCTTGTGTGTCGTCCAAATCGATGCATCCTTCAGCCACAGCAAAGAAAAGACCCTCTTGGAAGAGAGACAAAAAATATCAATGCTCTGCTAATACTTACATAATATATTTGGGGTTAAGTGTTATAATATTCGACCTGTTCCGAGTCTCGCTCGTTCATTCTTCCGTTGATTGGGATTCCTTTGGTGTGACTTCATCATTCTAATCAGAGTGCTTTTGATCTTGTTGCTTGGAGCAAGTCTAAGATGACCGTTTGTTATGTGCTGTAGTTAAGAAATCACTTACGTTTATGTTGCCTGATAATTTATCTCTGTTGTAAATTTTCTTTTTTTAAATTTTTATTTGTAATTTGGTGTAAATCCCGCATACATTGTACTTTCCTGAATGCCATTAAACGTTTGATCGTTACTTACCAACCCCCTGACCTGTTTTGCTTGAGGTTTGAAATGATTTTGCGTTTACTTCTGTGAAAGAAAAAAAAAACGTTTGTCATCGAGCTCGGGTTGTTCAAAGAGCTATTCCTGGGTTACGCATGGAATTCACCCTGTATTAACGCTAATTCAATCCACAGTTGAATGGTACCCAACTGTATATTGATAGATTGATTGAAAGATTAATAGATTGATTGACTGATTGAACATGATTGATCTGTTGTACCCTCGTGCCCAGGCTACTCTTGCTCAGCATCGATATGAGAATGGAATGGGAATGAGACGAGATCGAAGCTAAATCTTACTTTCTGCATATTCTTTCACAGTGCGGGAAGAGATAGCACGTAAAGAGTTATTTCCTTGWATCATGTCCATCTTGGTACCACATAAATAAATATTGCAGAACTGAAACGTGAATAAAAACATATTGAATTTGCTTCCTAAATCAAAGTTCTGTTATATTCATTATATTCCCATTTCAAAGCGGATGACCGCTGCTTTATGTGACAACAGGTTCTCTTGCGCAAAGACCTTCACTGAAACAAAAGAAGCATGAAAGAAAGTTGACATGCAATACTATAGCCCTAATAATCCTTCAGCACTCGCCTACAAGTGTACCGAACATTTTGTCGCGCGCTGGCTTCATGGATTTCAAGTAGCTCAAAACATGCATGCATTATCCATGCATTTAGTATTCTGGTCTTCTGGGGCTGCATTGAAACTATGAATGTTGAATTGTGCTTATAAGTTGCACAATTTGCGCCAGGCCCATAAACTATAGTCTTAAATAAATACTTCTGAAGTCAAACATGTTGTAAAAAACGCTCAAATGCATGGAAGGGTCATAATGACTTGCATGTGTAAGTTCATCTTAAGCCTGTGCTGCCAGCAGTGCGCGGTTTACATGGTGAAACCGCAGTCTGTCGACAATGCGGGCTAGTCATGACAGCCTTAGATTGCTTTACCTCTTCGTATGTCTGCAGCTCGTTGACCCAATATTTTGCGCGATGGAAACTACTCTCCTCAGTAAGATCTACAAATTGTAACAAGCAGAAATTCTCAATTCAAATATTCTCGTTTATTTAGTTGGAAATTTTCATCCTTATCTTTGTATATTTCATTTCTCCCTTTTTCACATTCAACCATTCAATAGTTTGTACAAATGAAGCCTACCGTAGCAAATAATAGCCGCTTTTGCTCCACGATAGTAAACACGACTCATGGCATCGTAACGTTCACTTCCTGCCGTATCCTATAACATTCAACGATATCAATATTTGATTTGGGATCCCTGTGTTATCTAGCATACACCGGCTCTTACCCAGATCCCCATTGTGATTCTTTTATCACGGATGTCAAGTGTTTTTGTGCCATATGCTGCTCCAATAGTCTGGAGTGAAAAAAAAAAAAAAAAAAAAAAAAACAGGAAAAGTTAGAAAATACTATGTGTTTCAGAAGTGTGAGCGATAGATTTCCTTTTTTGCTGAAATTCAGTCCCAAAAATCACTGCGAACATCATTCTCGTTCCCAGAGCTCCTCTGCGCACATTACTTTACTGAGCATGCGTAATGATAAACACAGTTATTTCTGAGAAAAGTTGCCTCAGTACTTCATGTACGACGTCGCGAATTGGCGCTATCACTAATATTTCTGTATCAGGGAGGAGTTAGGCTTTTTATGGGTTCCTACATGAAGTACTAACCTAAACTTTAGATCTACCAATACTTACGTTGTCTTACCAAAGAATTATAAAAACGTTATAGCGGGACTAGTGTATAAATTTGCCTGCACATGCGATCAAATATGCAGCAGCACTTCGCATAYWTTKGTCAATTGTTTGTAGCAAGTAAAAACATACTTGACGCAATTGTTGCGCGCTGTTACGAAAGCCCTACATACACTGTAAAGCAGTTAATTGATTACTTTAGATTTGATACTAAATACTTATTGATGATTGCTATGTAAAAAATTCATTTGAATTTGACAAGCCGGTTCCAATGCTCGATTTCATCCCCTATTAAAAGTAGCCGTCCCTGTGATAKTATATCAACATAAATATGCTTTCAAAAAAACTATAACTGCTGTAACTCTATAACCTACTAGAATCAATACCAAACACAGAAAACTATAGCTGAATATAAACGCCTCGTGAAAAGTGAAGTTTACATTTGCCCTGGTCTCCTCTTCTTCCGCTTTCGGCATGCAGGCTAAAATCATTCATCAGTTTCGCTTACAATGTTTTTTCAATGTTTCTAAAACATTCTTACCGCCTCTGCATACTCCAAGTATCGTTGATGTAGATATCGTTCCAAAAGGCATGTTTTACCCGAGTTGTTTTTTCCCAAGAGGACAACTTTGGCAGTGATTTGGTCCGTCGACGACATGTCAGACTGAGTACTGTCACRCAAAGTSGATTTCATCTTGTTATAGTCACGACAGATCTATYATGTCACGCTATTTCCACAAATCGAAGTTAAGTGAATTGACGGATAGCTGAAGGTGATAATTGGCTTTCCTGGAATCTGCCATGACTTGTTATTAGGATAATATATAGTTGTACTAAAAATACACCACTGGTTTTGAAATATATCTCCTGTGTAATATCCTCTATTTATTATTACCTCAGTACGGTAAGCGTACTGTTTATAAACAAGGCAAGATTTATTAATATAAGACCATTGTTTGAAGTAGAAAATGAAATATAATATTAGTAAGTATGCACAGAAGATATCTGAGATATATTTCATTTTCTACTTCAAACAATGGTCTTATAATAAATCTTGCCTTGTTTATAAACAGTACGCTTACCGTACTGAGGCCATAATAAATAGAGGATATTACATGGGCGCGCGAAGATACGGATTTTATCTTCGAGTGTTGAAAAGATCTCTCACGATTGAGCGTAGCGAATTTTACGAAATGGCTGAAATGGAGAAATATAGGTATTTCATAGATAATTATATGATAAGAGGTATTCATGAAAAAAGAGAGGGCAAAATAATAAACAAATCCCAAAAATGGTAATTTAATGACAGTCTCATCTTGAAAAAATGAAAATAAAAAATAAATAGTGGCACTATTATAACCACACTGAAAGCAAAACAATCAAAATGACTGAGGTTTCAACTGTTTTATTCAGAGCTCGCGATTGATTGCATTTAATTTTATTTTTATATTCCTAATAAATAATGTCACCTCTACATCTGTCGGTTTGTCTATAAACATGCTATAACATTCGTTTAATACTTTAGTCTTGTAAAAGACTGTATATCTCATTTGGCGACTTTAAAGTAAATTACTGTACTGCAAAAACATTGTCCTCACAGCCATTCTTTTGACAGACGTGAAGCCAACTGTACTCCGTGGAATTCCTGTGTTAAGTCAAAACCCCAGAGGGGGAGAGGGTAAGGATGAAGGAAGATTTCTCGATACCAGTTCTTCTCGGTCAAGAATACTAACACAGGAAGACCAAAAAGACGAAAAGTCCGTTTGCTCGGGSTCTTTGGAGGCTCCTAGCAACATTTCAATGATTTCCCTGTATCATTGGATCGGTTTTGTAATAGGATAGCTTCATTTTCTGAAATATAAAAACAATGTAGCATGCAAATAAAACAAATACATCAATTTAACAGCGACAGCATGTCAGGTGTTGAAGGTGCAAAAACAGTTTCAGTAATGTAGAGCGTAAACCAAAAATACCTCTTCTTCTAGCTTGTTCAGCTTCTGTTTTTAATGAGTCTTTGGCGATTTCGTAAAATAACTCCTCTGCAACAACAATGCACATGTATCAGAATTTAATAAGCTTCTAGTGCGCATGCTCTACGTTTACGGACATAGTGACATAATTTCCCACATGGCTAATGAATTAAACATTCTCACCTACGTTTTCTCCTGTTTTACTGGACGTTTCAAATAGCTTTGCGTCAATTTCTGTGAATGAATAACTAAGACTTTCATATCATATGGAAATATACGTCATGACAATTCATGATTCTATTGGCTACGGATAAACCAATCATGGCAAAGCGCGCGCATTTTCTATGCTTACGTAAACAGTGAAGTCATAGTTGACAATTAGATTGTGYACATCTTAGTTTTCGTCAAACCTTTTTGCATGCATGAGAATTAATCTTATTCAGAATGAAAAAACATTCCTTGCAAACTTAAATCTCGTTTATACGAAATGTTGTTAGGAGATCCCTTTGTCAAGGGCTCACAGAATCTTTGCTATTCCTGGCTTGGAGGTGAGTATTGATTGTGGCTTTGGGAATGGAATGAACACTGAAAGGGAACGAATAGTGAACTTAGAGAACTTATTAGAAGTCGAGTTTGTAATGTCATGTGCTAATGCTGGCATAGTCCGTAAAAAAAGCTGAGGACTTTGAAAGTAATCTTTATTGGTTAATTTATTTTACCAGAAATCACGCCAAGTCTCTACCTAAAAGCATGCAAGACAACGCTTGTTATTTTGGTCTTGGTCTACTTCTACAAGTACATAGAATACTGCATGGGATACTATAGACAATGGAAGTACGTCAACATATTATAATCTGCAGAAGTTTAATTATAAATCTTGCTTACAGCTTGCGCAATAACATGGGCGGAGGCTGCATGMAAATCAGCAGCATTTCAGYAGTATTAAATTCTCTTTCTCTAATTTTAGACGCTCTGTTGCACCAAAATACAATGCAGCCAGCCAAGGAGGCAGCAGACGAGTTGCTTCAAAGCAAGAACTYCCTCCAATTATCTCACACATTTTAGAGAGCAACACATATCAACAAGTTAAATCTRACTTGAAACTACAGCTCTACCAAACTAAAACACGCTTGTTAGACAAGTGCAAAGTGAAAGTTTATAAGCTTTTGACCACGTATGATTTGGTCCGCGGCCTGGTTTACACGCAGTGGAAGATTGCAGTGTTTAAAAATGGAGCCCAACTCGKCTCTGTCCAAGTTATTCAACGCTCTACGATAGATTTCCGTTTGGCTCTTGAGCTGATTAGATCATTCAACCAAGCTATCCCAAAGAACAACGATTGTTTTTTTTCTGAGAAATTTAAAAATGGTGTTTTCCGTGGTACTKCGCCTAAGAATACTGCCCAGGTTCGTAGTGCAAAGTCTTCCAGGGTGAAGACAGTTTGCAAAAAGCACAACGCTTCTGTTAAAGGAGGACGCGCTGGTTATAAGGATTATATGGTGCCAATTCTCTGTTGTGGAGGAGCTGCTCTGGTGTTATTTGGTGTCTACAAATATCTGAGGTAATTTAGCAGCAATCCATTTGACTTTGACATTTATGCAGTCATGAGCAAAAGAGAGAGATGAGGAAAAGAGAGAGAGAAAAAGAAAGAAGGGAACGAACGAAGGATCTTAAGGAATTATTACATAAGGGAAGGAAGGCCGGCACGCCTTCATTTGGCCAAACATATTTGAAACATCAACTGCAAGTCAACTGACGGACAGAACGAGCCAAATCACAAACGAAAACAAAAGGGAACAAGACGAAAGAGAAAATGAAATCGATAATTGATTAATTTGGTTGGGGAATGACTATAGTTTATGTTTTTCATTGCAGAAGCTGAATGAAAACTGTCATGGCGSCCTGGGGATTGAATTTCCTCTCATACTGTGTGCATGCTCCTGCTTGTCATATTTGCTTTTATATTTATATACTTTCTTCGTATTTTATAATAGATAATTGATAAACTGCATGTATCATAAATGAATAAAGAATAACTAGAACTTTTACCTATGGCATAGTCTGACGTAATCGTGGGGTCCACTGCTCTGGGTTGCCTGTTTTCTTGTATCAGATCCAGCTTCGTTCCACACAAATAAACTTTACATAACTAAGAATAAAAAAAAGATTGACAAATACACATTTTCAAAGATATTGAACTCAAGTTGAACGTTCGTTCATTCTTTTTCCACTTGTTAAAATATAAACAGACGCTCATCAAGGTTCTTGCTAAGTATTGGGCGTAACTTTCCAGATTACCTCTTCGTGCTTCTTAAGTTCGTTGATCCAAAACTTTGCTCTATCAAAGCTGATTGAATCGGTAAGATCTGTTTGAGAATGAGTAATTACTATTTGTAATACTACATTACAACATTACATAGTTTATAGATGCGTTTTTATTGGCGAGGATTGGTAGGCAAGCGTGCACTATTTCACTGGTTATCAAATGGAGGAAATATAACTTCAATTCGCGCATTCTTTTCCTTCTTTCTAGTGAGCCCATCAAGAACAGGCTTTCTTTGGGTCCCCCACTCCTCCCACTTCCGCGAGATAGTCCATTTCCGTCAAAGGCTATGCCTCCACGCTATATCGCATGGTTTTTTTACCGACAAAGACAATCCACTATTTACTTCTGGTTAGAACATCTTACCATAACATACTACAGCAGCTTTTGCTTCTCTATAATACACTCGTGTCATGGCGTTGAATCGCTCTGAACCGGCTGTGTCCTATTAAATAAAATGAACGAAGGTAAGAATGAATGAATGAATGAATGATGATGATGATGAAGAAGAAGAAGAAGAAGAAAGAAGAATAAGAATAAGAATAAGAATAAGAATAAGAATAAGAATAAGAATAAGAATAAGAATAAGAATAAGAAGAAGAAGAAGAAGAAGAAGAAGAAGAAGAAGAAGAAGAAGAAGAAGAAGAAGAAGAAGAAGAAGAAGAAGAAGAAGAAGAAGATAAAGATAGAATCGAATGGTTTATATTTGTAACAGTACCCATATTCCTAAATTCACAATTCGATTTTCGTCCAGTTGTACTGTGCTTGTGCCATACGCCGCTCCTATTGTCTGAAACAATAAGATTTTGAAGATAAGAATGAGCACAACAAGAAAATATACTAAAATAATATTAATGTTAAATAGTCTGTGAATATATTTTCGTCTTATTATAATTGATAGTTAAAATATCTATTTTACTAAGTTTCTGACTTATATCAAATTCGATGATTGACAATATATGATGCCGCGCGCTTGTACATGCTGAAACCGGTCGATCTACTGCACCCGATCAAAACATTGTGAAATACTTCCGGTAAGAGTGACTAAAATGTTCCAAGTAAATCGATACGGATATTTATTAATGTTTATTAAGTTAGAACGCTAGGTCAAGTGGGACAAGAGTTGATGCTCCATGAGTCCATAGTAGTTTCGAATGACTATCAACTCGATTCGTTGCAAAAGCACCGAGTTTTAGTACCCATCAAACGCGGTTATAAAACTTAAACAATCTTGGACGACACCGCGACACAAATATTTGTATCAATCTGCGAGATGAGAATCGCGCTATTTATYAATTGCCTGCCATTATATCATTGTATTTTAATGTCAAGAAATTAACTGAAACTTAGCCTGTAATTGTTACTTACAGATTGAACATTTCTGGGATGGTATCTCTTGTGTAAATATCTGACAACCAAGCAAGACTTTCCACCATTTTCTTTTCCAAGCAGAACGACTTTMACCTCTCCCTTCGATTCATTCATTGCTATTTCCATTTTAACGAGCACCAAAATTCTTACTGTATCTTTGAAGTTAATTTTTTTTGACAAGTAAAACTAAGCTCGTCATTACGAAGGTTTTGTTTGCCATTACGAAACACGTCACGCGTCACGCTTTGTTACACTGTAACRAAGCTTACACGATGTAGCATGATGACATAAAACCGTTCCATGTGACGTCAGACTTATTGTGTGTTTCATAAACTTATGTCCATGACGTAATAAGAAACACGCTAAAACCCGTGAAACAGAATGTGGTAGAGGATATTACAAGAGCGCGCGAAGATACGGATTTTACCACTGTAAGTGACCGTAGTATCTACAGGCGAACATGTAATATCATGTAATATTCTGTAATGCACGCTGATATGACCTGATATCACATCTGCGATGAGAAGAGCGAGGTTGATTTAACATGTCTGGACGCAGGAAATGACAGGGGGATGATAGGGGAATTTTAATAGTGAGACCCCGCGCTCGTCCGAGTTCAAAGTCGTAAGTCTAACCTCTAGCGTGTTGACAACAATTTCGCGAATATTCATGATAAAAATCACCGGTAAAGTGAGCCCAATAAATCCGTCTAAATAAAGATAAACATCTCTCGTGAAAAGAACAAGAAATCATGCGTATAATAATACAATTTCATGATTCTGTCAATATTTTATTCCTCACTTACAAACTAAGCTCACATCGCATTTATGAACTAAGAAATTATATATACATTTATGATTTTCGTAATGAAACTCATTCTCTCTGAATTACTACTCTATTGCTAGCAAAGTAAGTGGGGGATGGAAAAGGAAATGTAAACCACTTTTGTAAAAGAAAAAATCGGAAAATCTTCTTCCATCTCCTTCACTGTCCCCGATTACTTCATTGAAAACCATCCATTGATAATCATAAAACAATTATTATTCTATTCAATATGTCACAAATATGGTTGGTACCTGACTTGGATGGAAAACAGCTTTGTCAGRTATCRGYACATCTATAAAATCATTGTCTGTAAAATTGTGGTTCGACTTAATTGTAAGGACAATCCCCCCTACTCCATTTTTAATATTCTTGGATGATATGTTGTATGGATGTACATTTTGTTCATATACGAGTGTAGGTAATGTTTGATTTACATGTATGAATCAAGCAAAGTTCTTAGATCAGCTCACATCCACACTGTCAGAACTCACACATTTTGCTAATAAAATTTTCGGACGTTGAAAAAAATAACCATGTATGTCTATTTCTTAAATAAAGCACTTTGGTTCATGCAGTTTATGAATAAACGTTAAGTTGCTCAAAGTTTTTGAACATAATTATGTTCTACTATTTTTGTATGATAATTTTTAAAAGTCTAGTTGGGTTTTCCATAATAATTATTATCTTCCACAAAATGCACACCCTTCTGCATTCTTATCTTTTGAATCTTGAAGGTGAAGTGTTTGAACATCATCTGTGAATAAAATATATAGGCTAAATTAATTGTTGTTTGGAAAAACATGAAATAATAAAATTTAAAGAAACGAAACATATATTAAGTAGTTGATTTAATTTACGACGTTTCGGTTCATTGTGACTCCATTATCAAGTGATACAAAATAAATGATAATAAGTACAAATATATAGTCTGACCATGATTAGCATAATGTATTGTAGTGGAAAACAATAGTTTAAATTAAATTAATTGTGTTCCAAAAAACMTTTTTGAGAAAATTATGGCATAGTTAGGAGTATGCCATGTGCAGGTAAACAAAAACAGTTTTGGTTCATTTGTACAAAGGCTAACTTAGTAGCTTTTCAGAAATTGAGCATGCTAAGATATATTACTCAACATCTTAGGTAAGTTGCTAGAGAAATAATACATGCAAACTGTGCAACRGCATTTCAAGATGCGGTCACTAATGCTCCAAAGAAGGAAGACCTGAACCCTACATGTAAACCAATGGATTTAGGTCTTGTAATCATAACAGATTAATAATAAAATTAAGTCAAACCCCTGTATTGTATTCTATTCTTTTTGGATACTTTCAATGCTCAATGATGAATATTCAATAACAATAACTACCAAAAAATAGCATACTTACTAGAATTATTTTCAGGGATTTGTTCATCCTTGGCATAATCTTTAGCAACTTCAAAGAAAAGTTCCTCTAAAAGTGAAACAGRAAGAGATGTTTACACAAAGTCTAGACAATAAATACATATTCATTTGCATTAATTTACATACCAACATTATGTCCTGTCTTACTTGATGTTTCAAAGACTTTGGCATTTATTTCTAGGGATAAAACAACAAAAATCATTATGAAATAAAACCTATAACAGAGTTGAYGCACTTATTTCATAAAATAATAGTACTTATTGCTACTTAATAGTATAAATTAGAATAGGATTTAACAAAGAAGTCAACATAATTTAGCAGCTATTTAAGTTCAAAGTGTGTCTCCTATGACAGTATTTTCTTATATTTATTAAACATTAAATCTTATTCTTTTGAAATTAAGTGGTCTCTTTGGTCTACAAGAAAGCGAGGTTATGTAATTAATTATGCATAACAAATGGGAGTATTGTCTCAGAAAGTCACCAAACTCTTAGTTAATAGTCTTCCATGAATTGAAGAATAAAATGTAATTCTTACCATCTGCATAGTCTGTTGTTGTATGATAATCGACTCTCCGCAATTTCTTATCGTCTTGTACAATGTCCAACTTTGTTCCGCACAGGTATATTTTACAATTCTGATAAAATCAACAAATGTTATTCTCAAAATGTGAATCATGATGAAACTCTGTAAAAAAATAATGATAGAACTTGAAAGGGAACAGAAAAAGGAAAGGTGGCAGACAAAACAAGGAATTTTTAAAAAAATACTAATTCCGTTGCATTACATAATAATTGGTTGAACATCAAATTTAGGTCAAATTATAATTTTGTGTTCAGGTATCATAGTGAACATGCAGAATTGTAATCAAACTTTTATAAATATTTCTCCTTTTATTCTGCGCTTTTTTATCATTCACAATAAGTTAATGATACTTACGCTTTCATATGTTTTTAATTCATTCACCCAAAACTTGGCTCTTTCATAACTGGACTTGTTGGTAAGATCTAACAAATGACAGATAATACTGATAAATATACATATCCAATAAACATATGAATACAAAGAGGAAGACTTAAACAAAAAATGATTCACCATAACAAACTACGGCCCCTTTGGCTCCACGGTAATATATTCTACTCATGGCCTCATATCGYTCTGATCCAGCAGTGTCCTGGTAAAATGAAACAATATACATTTATTATCCATATCCATAAAAATATAGATCATTATTCCTGAATAAAATTAGCATTTAATTTATTGTCATAAGAGTGCATAAACTATGACTAATTAACGATTATTGCCCAATTAACAATTAGTACAAAATCTTAATATATGTGCAATTTTGTGCAATAGACTCAAACAGTGTTGAAAATACCACAGATAATAACTACAGCTGCTCTATGACAGACTGTCTTTTTGTTTGTGTATCAAATTACACAGAATCTTTCACATTGATGATTACCTATTCAGTTATCCATGGATAGCATTGTTATTAAAACTGGGACACCATTTTTGGAATTATTTGATACCGGTAYATGTGTGAACTTTTCTTCCATTAGAAAAAAGACTGAAGATAAATTTAACATGAATCTATAAATACTTCTTTTCTAACGTTGCTCTTACCCATATTCCAAGTGTAACACTTTTATTTCCTACAATGACTTTGTTTGCACCAAATGCTGCACCAATGGTCTAAATAAAAATTGATCACAAAATAATTGCAGTTACAATTATACTGAATTTATTTATGTTTTTATATCTCACATGGTGGTGTGTGACCCGTATGTATTGGACTTTATACACACCTTTGTACCATTCCCAGATAACATAAGCTGSTTGCTATTAAAATCTCATTCTCTACCCAATTCCCTCCACTCACCCTAGATGTATTTAAATAGGTTGCGGCAATTTATGAGGGCAAATATGGTCATATAGGTATTTAAATTGATAAAGTCCACTTAAATTCAGATCATATGTCATCCTGGCAGAGGAAGGAACTTTGGACTTCAAATACACACCACAGATATAATTTATTTGTAAAATTATTAAGTTGTTTAATAAATCTCATTTTATAAACAAACTTTGAGGGATTGATTTGTTGCAGGTATCATAACGCCTTTTTGGGTCCCACAAATTGCATCAAATTGTACTTATCTAGCTGCAATATTAATTTCTATAAAAATTACAACTATATCATTTAAAATTTTTACTGTAAAACCACTTCCAGGGAAGTGGYTAATTAGTTAAACAATCAAATTTTTACTCTCGCGTTAGAAAAGTAATTTATGCGAACATGATATGAGCGCATCATTTGGGTTTAAGTTGTAATCCTAATATTGGTCTACTGTATTTGTAAATGAGTAAATACACTTTTCATCTTACTTACATTTTGATAAGGTACACTCTCGTTAAATCTGTGGTGCAGATATCTCTCAACAAGACTAGTTTTTCCACTATATTCCTTCCCCAAAAGTACGACCTTTACATCAACTTTTGAACCCATTGTATCCTCCAAATGTATCCCAATCAAAAGCCCTACCGCATTGCCTATAAATCGAGGATCTTCTTTAGCTTTGCCTTTAAGTAGTATCGCTTAGAAATGGTTCACATGTTTGAATTATCCCGTAAAAATTATAAATACATGTGTTGTAACTTCATCGTCTTTTTTGTCCACATTTCCCAGAACTCTTTGTGTTTACGTCCAAAGTAGCTTGGAAACTAGCTTAAAGCAACGCCTGGTAAATATCTTTTTTTTTGAAGGAACAAAAACAGTCTTCGGGAAAAGGGGATTTTTTTAGTCCTTTTTTCGTTGTACTTTGAASTCGTATCATTGTTCATGGCCAGAGGTTATAGCTTCTTGATTCTTAGACTGATAGATGGTTTATTTTTCTGGCAAACGTTTTTGTTTTTTACAATTTTGCTTTTGCCACGTGTTTCACCGCACTCTTCCGGTTCTCTGATGGCTTTGGTTCCATATTCACCGCCCAATACCCTTGCAAAGTTTCACCAAACCGAAAGGAACTTTACTTTTGTTGGGAAGACTTTGAAAATTGCGCAAGATTGGAAYGAAGGAGGCGTTGCTGCAGTCGTTTGGGACGCCGCCATTGTCCTCAGTCAATACCTTGAAAAACACAAGCCTTTGATAGAACATAAAACAGTCATTGAACTAGGAGCGGGGACTGGTCTAGTTGGAATGGTTGCTGCTTTACTTGGAGGGAATGTTATAGTCACAGACAGACAAAAGGCATTAAAATACATCAACACAAATGTAGAAAATAATGCTGATATTTTATCAAAACTTCCCATAAAAGTTGCTGATCTCACTTGGGGTCAAAGTATTTCTGATTTTGAAGCACCATTTGACATAATACTTGGAGCTGATATAATATACATCGAGGAAACAYTCCAGGARTTATTCAAAACYCTGTTGGAATTGACAGGGAAAAAGACAGTTGTGCTGCTATCGTGCCGAATTCGTTATGATCGAGACAACAAGTTCTTGGAACTTCTTGGCACTAAGTTTAGTGTCAAAAAGRTTTTGTATAATGAGGATACTGACATTGTAATTTATAAGGCTATCAAACTGGAGTCTTTGGACAATAAAGAAGATCTTTAATAATTTACATTTCATTTATGTGCAATCGTCAGGYTACTGTTCTTTRTTCGATGCTCTATTTATAGTTTTTTTATATGCCAAATCTGAGATTTAGAATAGGCTTATCTTCGTGACACTACACAAACGTCTAGCATACAAAAATGAGATCTACAAGTGGGACATGGTGATGTACTAGACAGCCAAGTATCTGGCCTTGTTTGGTCCTGACGACTTGCAAACCACTTTCCCATACACTCCAAACACCACATGGGYCTACAAAAACATGTGACACAGTCTCCTTCATCAGATGGAGCACAAACTTTTTGGAGTTTGATGTTRGAGGCTTGTTGCATACAGCCAATGCAGGGTTCTGGTTCCTTGGAGTAAAATMATCCATTAGATTAAAGAATGAACATGTAAAGGAAAAATAATGGAGTCTCCTCTGTAGGTTACTCCTTTTGTTCTACTGTTGGGGTTCCTTTGGCATGAAACACCAAAGGAACCCCAGTAGTAGACTGAAAGGGTTACCCATGTTGGATTCTGGGTAAAAACAATTGTTAACTTACTGGAAGAAAAAATTCAAAAAAACAAAAACAAAAAAAGAAGAACTTTGTAATAAAACTTTGCTCAATAATATAGTTCAAAATGAGTGAAACTTGAGCAAGTCTAAAGTTTATTTATGTTGACTCAATAYAAATGTTGTGGGTGTACAGACTGAATTTTATGGAAATAAAATCAAATTATTTTCAGTATACCTCATCTGTTTCAGCCAAGAAGAATTTTTCATTCAGTTCCACCTGTTCTCTAAAAGCCTCCAAAAATCGRTCAGTCAATGACTGATGAATAATAATGTTTCTTGCATTTCTAATTGGAGCTTGTATTTTCTCCCTAAGATCTCCATAGTCAGTTGATAARAGTCTTATAATGAAGGGCTTCACAGATGGATTTATGCTTGAAACTTGAATATTTAAATATTGCACAGCCATGTTGCTTTCATGTGAGAAATCATGATCCTCTGTTGCAATGATTGTCATGTGAACATCRGGTTTATGAGCGATATGTATGTTGTACGTTGTGCACTTTATAATCCATGAATCTGTAATGTAAAGTCTTGTGCCACCAATAATAGATGAGAATTTGCTTATTCTTCTGAATTCTATGTTAATTGATGAAGCAACAGCTCTCCATGGCCCACCATGCTTAGAGAGTACTTTGCAGAATGGATGGTTGTTCCTAAAATCAATAATAACTTCATTCATTCATTTTTTCATTTATATATGAATTCATTTATTCTTTCATTAGTCTCCTTTGCAGCCAAATCTTATGATGGGCTTCCCATCCCTCCCAGGCTGCATAGGAGGCTATTCTTTCATTCATGTGATCAATCATTTAGTTCAGAAGTGAGAACAGCGGTGATCAAAGTCCAATGTTTATGGGGATTTGGGTATGGGGGTTTCAATTGAATCATGCATTACCAGTTATTCCATGACCAATATCTTGCTATTGTAAAACCACAAGCTGCCATACCAACACAAAACAACAGAAAGCAATTTACAGCAAGTCCAGCCCTTCCAGGGTCAAGGATGTAGAGACCATTATCATAATCATTGTACAATGAAACCAAACCGAGTCCCACATAATAACCTAAATGGAAAACAACAATAACAATAATCAGAATACACTTCTCTTTTGGAGAAAAAAACAATGAAATTTCTCAAGGGAGCAACATTCTTTTCTTCTGTCCCTGAGCTGAAGTGGCGTCGACAGAGATCCATACATCAAAAGTTTTAGTTACGATGTTTTCAATCCATGACCACGTCACATGTTCGTACCTAATGGTAAAAGCGAATGCAACACAACCGTGCATGTTGTACGTTTTAAATGATAACTCGTAAAATCCATGTCTTCGCTGCCAAGATAATTCGACAGAAGATTCTGTACTGTTAATCCTGCGCTCACAAACTCCCTCGGAGGGGCTATAAAGCATAAGGCAACCAAAATGTAGAATATTGTAAACATGAACTCGTTGGAAACCATTTTGGAATATTATGCCGGTTGGGAGACTGGGTCTGGAAACAATCACACAGGTATTCCAAGCTATATTTTGATAACATTTTAAACGATTTTTTTCTTCTCAAAATGAAGTATTTTATATTCAAAGTGGTCTATTATGCTGATATAAAACCTAGCTTATTTAATCTTCTATTAAATCCGGGCATCCCTTTGCGAAAAACGTAATAAAAAATATAATATTTCGAACTTCCTGTGTAGAAATTTTAACCGCTGAGCAAGCTATTCACAGACTCACTTTAGCAATATCAAATTTTGAAGTTTGTTTTCATAATTAACAATTTGAGATGGTATGGAACTTCATCCCATTGTAGACAATTTGTCCGACCTCCGACCTAATCTCTGGTGTGTGATTTCCCCAGCTGGCGAAGGTCCGAGCGCTAGAGTCGGACATACGTGTATATTTTTAGGCGGGAAAAACGGAGGTGATCTCCAAGGTAACGAAAAGGGTCGAATATTGATAATCGGAGGTGCAAATCCCGATGGAGCGTTTAACGATGTCTATAGTATTGACTTAAGTAAGTATTTTATTCCTCTCTCATTAGATTTTTGAATGTAGATCGATATATC